GCCTATACTGTGAAGCAGAGAAAGCGGAGCAAACATCCAACACTCTGCACAAGGCACAAACTGGGAAACAAGAAAGACCCAAGGATTCCCATCCAAGCGGGCGCTCCTCCCAACCACCTCCTGGAGGCAACGGGAGCAACACCAACCACAAGCCCACAGGTTCCAATGGACATGGAAATGGAAGTAATGACCAGTCAAACCGTACCCATTTCTGCGTCACCACATGCAAGGCAACCCAGATGAGGGAAAAGCCTGGGGAGAGCACTAAGCAAGCCAAGATCTTCCCACGCAACTCCTGACTTGCCCAACAATGAATACCAACCCAAGGATGTGGACCAGTGCCCAATGATCCAGGTGCCCTCGGAAGACCCAGTACTGTACACCATCGCCAGACATCCCAATAAATTGATGTCCCATCTTTTCTGCTTTTGAAGTTACACAGACTCAGCACTCTTGGACTCAGGTGCAGACCAAACCTTATTCAACAGCAGCTTTGTGAATAAGTTCAAGCTGGCCACTAATCCTTCGTGGATTAAAAATGCGGTCCTGGATGATGAACACCACATTGCCATGACAAAGGAAACTGCCCCCTTCTCTGTCATGCTTGAGAACCTTCACTCCCCCATCCAAGGTCCTGTCATTGACTTTCCTAAGTTTGACATTGTACTGGGACTAGACTGGTTACAAAAGAACAACCCTCACGTAGACTGGGCAACCTCAGTATTGACCATCAAGCATGAAGGTGTCAACCACCAGATCTACCCTGACTCCGTGGGCCAACTACTATGCAACCACGGCTTTGTGCGTATCACAGAGACCCAGGGCAAGAAGAAAGATTTGAAGTCAATTGACTGGGACTCCTGCCAGTACAAGATCATACACTTCAAAGACCACCAGGACACCTCCACGCCTCAGGACCGCAACATTGTAGCCCGCCACCCAGAAATCTTTAAGGAAGTGTTACCTGGGCTGCCTCCTGAGAAGCATATTCAGAACTCTATCCAACTCAAGGGGGCTTTACCCAAGGTGTGCTCTATTTACAGGCTGACCCCAAATGAAGACAACACCTTATGTGCCTACCTCAAGGAAGCATTGGAAAAAGGACTTATCCGCCCCTCACAGTCTCCCTTTGGGGCCGCTGTATTCTTTGTGGCTAAGAAGGACGGTACCTTACGCCTGGTCACAGACTACCGCGCCCTAAACAAAGTTACCATTAAGAATTGTTACCCACTACCACTGATTGATGACCTCTTCAATGCCTTGGGAGGAGCCACTGTATTATCCAAGATTGATCTAACTGCAGGCTACAATCAGATTTGTATCAAGGAGGAAGACATCCCCAAAACGGCCTTCCGCACTAAATATGGCTCCTAAAAATATGTGGTGCTCAACTTTAGCATGACCAATGCCCTGTCCACCTTTGTAACCTTCATGAACAAAGTATTTGCGCCCCACATAGACAAACACGCTCTAGTGTACCTAGACAACATTATTGTCTACAGCCCCTTGGTGGAACAGCACCACAAAGATCTTGAGGCAGTCTTTGTGACCTTGGCACAACACAAACTGTTGGCCAAGCCCTTCAATTGCCAGTTCTTCCGTGAGCAACTACCCTTCCTGGGACATATAGTCTCAAAGGACGGCTCAAACCCAATAGTCAAAAGATACAGGCCATCTGCAAGATGCCACCACCCAAGTATAAGTCAGAACTCTGTACCTTCTTGGTAATGGTGGCCTATGTACAACGTTTCATACCTGACTGTGGCGTCTTGACAGCCCCCTTATCTGCCATAACCGGCTCCAAGTCTAAATTTATGTGGATCCCCCAACGTGACCTCTGTTTTAGACGCCTCAAAGAAAAGCTCACAACATCTCCCATTCTACAATACCCCAAACGTGACAGGGAATACCAGATGGAAACCAACGCCTTAGATGCATCCATTGGGGGAGTACTACAAATTAAAAATAGTGACGGCAACTTCCTACCTGTAGCCTACAAATTGTGGAAGTTGACAGATGGCAAGTGTCAATACCCTAACAACAACAAGGAACTGCTGGCTATTGCACACTGCCTTTTCAAATGGTGTTGCTACCTCAAACGCCAGGAAGAATTCACAGCATTAACTGATCACAAGTCACTCATCTATTTCAAGGCTCAAGCAAATCTGTCATGCCGCCAAGCGCGGTGGATGGAACTATTGGAGAGATTTAACATACTCATCTAGTACAAGCCTGGGGCCAAGCTTGCCATGGCAGACGCCCTGTCCCGTCTGTATGTCCGTGCTTCAAGAGGAGAGAATGGGCTTGACCCAGACTTGCCTCTCCTGGTGTTACGGACAAAAGACAAAGGGTTCCCCCTGGCACAACCAACATAACCAAAGAAACAGTCATTAAGAATGAACATCTCTTTGCTGATGTATATGGGACTCTTCACAGAAAGATGACTGACGGCACGACCATTCCCTACATCCCCACACAGCAGCAAGTCAACACTATCCTTTGCTATCACAGAGACCTTGGACATACCAAGAGCAGAAATCTATATGAGTTCCTAAAACATAAAGCCTGGTGGCCAACCTTGTACCGCAATGTCCAGGAAGTTCTAGACCAATGTGAGGTGTGCAAAAAGTTTGCCAAAAGCAAAACCCCGCCAAAGTCAGTACTTCCCATCCGCACATAACTACCTTTCAAAGTATGGGCTCTTAACATTGTTGGTCCTATGCCAGGAAAACACAATGACAAGAAATACATCATCACTGCCATTGACTTTGCAACAAGATGGCCAGTAGCCCAAGCAGTAAAGGCACACACCGGCAATGAATTTTGACAATTTATTGGCAAAGAAATAATCAGCAATTTTGGAAAGCCAGAACTCCTGATAACCAATGGAGGCAAAGAGTTGACCTCCAAAAACACCAATGTATACCTCACCAAGAATGGGGTCAAGCACACCGTAACAACACCATACCAACCACAGGCTAATAGACAAGTAGAGCGGCTTAATGGTAGCCTCGTGCAAGCCCTAGTCAAACTCACCGCCAGGAGACCTGAAGATTGGTATAAGCAGCTACCAACTGCACTACTTGTGTGTCAAACCCGAGTGGACAGATCCACTGGGAAAAGCCCGTTTGAACTGGTATACAGCACACAGCCAAATATCATTCAAGCATTGACAGGACCTAAACTGGAAATTTCAAGTGACGTCCCTCCACGCTCAGACCCTCAAGTAATGGAGGCTAATTGCAAGCAAGCAGCCAAAGAGGATGAACGTCTGCAAATGACATTTGTTCCCATCTGCTATAGACATGAAGTTGGGGATAAAGTATGGGTCATGAATGTTGACAAGAGCAAGTTACAACCTGAAAAATTGGGGCCAGCAATCATTATAAAGGTAAACAACAATAACACTTACCTCGTGTAAGGGCTTGGCAAACATAAGCAAGACAAGACCCTACACCATGACCACCTACGGCCCTGCAAAGCAAGACAGAAACAACAAGAAACCACCCTACCCGCTACAGAACAGCAACTAGTTCAATATGGCGCCCGGGCTCCTGACAACCTCCCTGACAACCTGCCCCCAGAGGAGGCCGACCTTCAGTTGGAGGGTGTCAAAACCGCAGGCTCAACCCGCCAGCAAGGTTCCAACCAAGCAGGTTTGTGACCTGCAATCCGATTATCCAGTCACTTGAAGCCAGACTAGGAAGTCAACTCAAATTACCAAATCCAACAACATGAACAGATGATCCTTTACGGTGGATACCTTGTTTTAGCGCTTGACTTGTTATCAGGATCAAGCCACCCCCTTCTTCCATCCAACTGTGTGATCACCAATCATGTTCTTGCTATCCATTGATTTACATGAACTATATAATCACTATCACCCAATAAAGATTATTATCTAGCTTCTAAATATTTTTCCCTGTGTAACTCTGCTAAAACAGCACAGTTACAACAACAGTACAGACTTGACAGTAATTGCTTGGGCCAGGAGGTTCACCAAAGGACCTGTAGGTTCTGCCCCTATTCCAGTTGAGATGACATTATCTGTGACAATAGTGGTAAAGCAAGAATGAATTCCTGAAATACCTTACATTGAAGTAAGATATATTATTGCATAAATGTCACACTTAAAATGATACCTTAATTTAAAATCCTTTGAAGGCAATATTAAATCCATCATTTCAATTATATGACATCTCAGGATACAATCTTAATAAGAGTATTCAAAGTTGGAAAAGTAACTTCAATAAAATAATAAAGGCTAAAAAATTGAGAACCACTGTTGCTAGACTAAACAAGGCTTAAGAAATCAAAAATAAACAATAAATATTTGGGCCTTTAAATTAAAACTAGCTTTTGGAATCCCATTCAGCTGGATGGTCAGAATAGTTAAAAGCTTTACAATTTTTGTATCAATACATATAAACACTTATTATCTGAATGGCCTGTAAAATGTAGATTTAAGCCGCTGGTGAGAAAGTGGGCTTGGCCCTCCATAATTATATTTCTGGCTATATACATCCTCTCATTTTCATATAAAAATTCAGTCACACAATCTCTCACTCATATGTGATCCCTGAACATTAACAAGATCAATCTATAGTCATTTTAGCTTGGAATGCAAACCTATTTTTTAATAAAAGTATTTTATTATAATCTTCTCAATATTATCTGTAGGTTGCCTCATAAGCAATTTAACTGAGCTGATAGTATATTCATAATATAAAAAGTATTTTAGAAATTAGATAGTTGACAATTGTACTTCATTATATGTGTATAACACACATAACTAAAACATATTAACACATCTTCACTAATTTTTACATTTTACCAAAAAAAGATTTAAAGATACTAAAGTATAAAATAACCTCTCAATATTAATAAATAAAGATATTATAAATTCAAATAAGAAATCTAGCATCAGTACAGATATGAAAATAAATACAATATACTGCCCTATTCTCTAACCAAGAGAACTTGAAAAAAAGCTTAAAAAGTGATCCTGCCAGGGATCAAATCTGGAATCTTGAGTTCCATAGACTCACGCCTTATCCATTGGGCCACTTTTTTTAAAACCAAGAAATTGCTTTAGTGGGGGTTGGGGGTATCCATCTGGGAGCGCCTGTTAAAAAAGCTCATCCTTGGTGGGGATTGTGAGTCAAGAACCAGTTCATTACTAGTCTGCCCAAGGAGTAATCATACTGGAGCATACTCTTGGACTTAGCGAGAGATTTGGCTTGTCTTATCCCTCTCGGGATAAGCTTGCCAAATTTTGATATCCTATCCATGGTCTTATCAACTAGGGCTCCGAAGCCTAAGCCTGACAATTGTGGTGTGCCTTTCCAATTGTTTATGATCCTTCCTTTTCTTTCCAGATGGATCTGCCATAATGTGGATTGGAACAGAATGGCTCGGAGTTGGGTGGGGTATTTTGAGAGGGATTTTGAGAAGAATATGTCTTGACTTGGGTGGTCCCACATGAGGTGACTAACCCCAAGATTTTTGTAGACTTCTTCCCAGATCTTTCTTGACAGTGGGCATGTGAAGTAGCGGTGAGTGACCCCCGCTGTATTGTGGCCACATATACTGCATCCCTTGTACAGGTAGTCTGGGCCACCATGTTTGTCTGTTCTATAGGCCCAATTCATGATTTGCCATGTTGTGGCGCGCTGGGTTGATCCTACCAGATTGGAGTTCATCAATTCAATCAGGTCCTTGGCTGGAAGAGAGATGTTGTGTCCTTCACCTGTCCAATATCTTACAAGTTTAGGTCTTTCACACTGAGGCATGACTTTTTGAATTTCATTGAAGTTACTTGAGGAGCACTGTTTCATCCTCCAGAAAGTTGGGAATTCTAGGACGGCTATCTTCCATCTCAATTCCTTCTTTTTATCTAAGTCATTTGTTTTGTTCAAGGTTCTTTTCAGCTTTTCAATGGTTTCCTCAATGGATTGTCTGGTGGGGCTCTCTGGACGGCCCACTGGGATTTGTGAAGTGCTCTCCAGGACTCTTGCCAATATATTGGGGAGTTTTTCATCGCATGGAGCCCAGGGTGGGTCAGCATCCATAGTCTTAACAATAGGTTAGTGATTAGAGAAGCTGGTTTCATTGACATTATCCGGTTATATGCTCTGCCCAGGGCTGGTGACGTAGTCTTTGCTTCCACTGCAGCCAAAAAACTTTTAGACCATATCTGGCGAGCTTTATCAGCTACCGGTAGCAATCCCAATCCACCTGATTTTTTCGGGGTCCAGAGATAATCTAGTTTGATTGGTGCAACCGATGCTTTTCCCCATAGAAAAGTGTGTCAGTGATTCAACTTTCTTTTCCAGGGTTTTTGTAAACGGGAATAGGTGTGCCACATACCACAGTTTGGAGTAAATGAAAACATTAAGCGCTTGGATTTTTGTTTCCAAGTTGAGGAGTTTATGTTTCCACTTACCCATCTGTCAACAAGGTCTGTCAGTATCTTTGTCTCCATTTCGGGTATTGCCATTCCAGATTTCAAGAACAATATGCCTAGGTGGCAGAAGACCAGTTTGTCATTGCTGTGCTTGTATCCAGGTGGGGGTATAAGAGTTGTATTGCCAATAAATATGACCACTGTCTTCCCTGTGTTCATCTTAGCATTTGATGCTTTTTTGTAAAGGTTCATCATCTTGTTAAACTCCTGGACGTCTTTTGGGGATGATAGGCCAAAGACTGTGTTGTCAGCAAAGGCCAGGGCTTTCAGGGGTCCTTGGCCCGGGTGTGGAATCCCATTGATTTGTGTGGACGCCGTGGCTAGTAGTATATTTGATGCAAAGTTAAATAGGATATGAGACATAGGGTTGCCCTGCCCGAGTCCTTGATTGACCGGAATCAGGGGTGATAATTCACCGTTCAGAATTATTCTTGCAGAGAGGTTCCAGTATAGCGTATTGATCTGTGATGAACGTTTTGGGTATGCCTACCATTCTTAGTGCTTGTTTCAGGAAATCCCAGTCAACCCAATCATATGCTTTTTTCATATCTAGGAACATCAGCAGTCCTTCAGCTTTGTTGGATGGTTTTTGGAGGATGTTGTGGACAGTTTCAATATTTTCCCATATGGATTGCTCTTTAATAAAGCCCTTTTGATCTGGGTGGATGAGTTTTGGGGCTAGCTTCATTAGTCTATTGGATAATATTCTTGTCATTAGTTTATAGTCAGCGTTTGATAGACTGATTGGGCGCCAGTTCTTAAGGTCTCTTTGGTCGCCCTTTTTAAATGTGAGACATATGTTTACTTCATTCCCTCCTGGAATCTGTGCCGCGTTGTCAAGGCAATGATTGAATACTTTGGCTAGTTCATCACACAGGCGTCAGATAGGTGCTTGTAAACGTCTACTGGATGTGGTTGGGGCCTGGGGACTTACCCTCGGGGGCTTCTTTAAGTGCATGGGTTATTTCCCCTTTTGAAATAGGAAGTGATAGTATCAATTTTTCTTCCAGGTTGCATCTCTTTAGATTTAGTTTTGCCAATGCAAAGAGTTCCTCTCTTGCTGTTGGACATGGTGATGCCTTGGCAAAGAGCCTTCCATAGAACTGTGTGGCAATCTGGCACATTTCTTCATGTGAGGAGTGTGAAATGCCGTCATGGTCAATCAGTTCATTTATATGAGTTCTTAGTTTTGTAAACTTCAGTTCTGCTAGGCCGAATTTGGTGGTAGATCCATAAAGGCATTGAAATTTAAATGTTGTTTTAGTACGTGTGATAGCCCCTTCTTTTCTTTGTAATTTCTGCAGAGTCTTTGTGGCTTCTTGAAATTCTTTAAACCATTATTGATTGTTGTTTTTATTTTTTGCGGATATTTCTTTTATCAGTTCTTCTATTTTGTTTATTTTTGCAAACCTTTTTTCTTTTCATTCTTTTTCATGTTTGGTGGTTTTATTTTTAATAGATTCTTTAATCTTTTCCCACCTTAGGTTAGGTTCTTTATATTCTTTTTTAGGTTCTTCAATTTTTTTGGTATTATTTTTTCCATTATTTTTACCCAGTCTATGTTTCGCATCTAGCTGGCATGATAGATCATTTTGGTAATGGCGGTTTATTGGGTTGCGCTATTTTAACCACTACTATCATATGGTCACTTACTGAGGATGTGCGGACTTGAGAGCGTGACGTGATGTCTGCTAGCGCTCCCACCACTAGACTAAAGTCTAGGCAACTCCCGCTTATCGGGGTGTCATCTGCATCAAAGGCCCATCTTGTTAGTGATACTGGTCCATTGTCTTTGTCATCTAGCGTGAAGATGAGTCCCTTCTGCGACATGAAGTTGAGCATTGTGATTGCTCAGCAATGAGTGCGTTCTTGTACAGGGAAGGTATCCCTGATCTTGTCTGTCCAGGTGTTGAAATCACCTGCTATCACAGTGTTTGCTGTCATTGTGATCTTTTCTAGTGTTTCCCACTGTGATTTGTATTTGTCAGCTTGGGGGGATATGTAGACACCAATTAGTTGTAGGGTTTGATTATTTCAAGAGTCTGTTGCGTTTGCTATTATTATTTGTTTGTTGTCTAGGCTCTCAATGAATTTGAGTTTGATATGTGGTCTTAGCGCCACTATGGCTACATGTTTTCTCCATAGGGATTTTAAATTTGCCTGGCGGGACCAGGAATGGTTGAGGGGGTCAGGGGGGAGTATTATGTGGTGTTAAAACCTTGGATTTTGGAGACAATGAGGACTTCAATGTTTTTTGTTTTTTAAAAAGGTGGATTTTTCATGCGCAGGTAGCCCAGTTCCTCATGCTACACGTGTTGATGGTTCTGATATACATTATAAACTGCCGCCTGACCCACGGGTATGAGGATGGTTTTCTTTGTTTGCGGGGTTCCAGTAGCTGCGGTTAATACCTTGTATAGAGGTGGGTGTCGGGTTAGGAGGGGGGTTAAATTTCTTAAAATTGTGGAAGTCATTTGCACTGAAGTCTGTGGCCATCTCGTGTGTTTCTTGGGGTACAGGGATAGGGTTACCTTTACCTTTGTTTTTTTTGTTTTGTGGGTATGTTTATCTTGAGCGGGTGTGGAGCAGTTGTGGTTTAGTCATTGGATTTTTTTGTGGTTTCTTTTGTTTCCCTTTTTGGGTTGTTGTTTTCTTTCCACTATGTTTGTTTGCCTTGCGCCATTCTTCTGTATCAGGGTGAATTATTCTCTCTGCTGCGGTTGGCTTCTCATTGATATGGACTTCTGCCGGGGTAAACGGATCTTCATGATCTTCTGTTTTATTGTTGTTTGAGAGGGCCTCTACCCTGAGCCAGTCTTCCTTATGTCTGTCCTCCATCTTTTTTTGTATAGCTTTCATATCAAGGATGTTTGTAACATCATGCGGTAGCCACCATTTTGGCTTTGGCCTGAGGAAAGTTTCGGATTTTACCTTAGTTATGCCATTTTCTTTGTCTTGTTCTATTTTGCTGAAGTGGGCCTTTTCCTATGGCTGCAGTGTTACGCTGTGTGACCCATCTGATAGCAGAATCTGCACACAGGTCTTTCTGTCTCAGGTTCCAAGTAGGTGACCGTGTTGGTGCAGCCAGGGAGTCTGATGAAACAGGGGAGGGGTTTACCTCTACTTTTAACTATGGGTGCCATATTCAATAGAACATGTATGGTCTTAGGTCTCAAGCACTTGGCAGTATCAGAGCCTTCCACCATTACATTGACTATGTTACCATAGTAGGATAGTCCTGTTACTACTGCTTCTTGCACCCAGTGTCTGTCCTTATTTGTAGGGAGGTTAGTAAAATGTTACCCATTTGGAGCGTTGTTTGGTGTATCTTTTTGGTTCAATTTTAAGTGGTGTATTGTTGCAGAAGATTTCTAAAGATAGGGCTTTATTTCTCATTTCTGCTATTTAAAAGCCAATATCCAGGTAACCTTCTGTTACCGCCCAGTGGCTATCTAGCTGGGAGTCTGGGAAGTTTTTGTCCAGAGCCTTGTATATGGCGTCTTTGCATTGTCTGATTGAGCCTTTTGTAAGGCCGTTGACATGGATGCGTATTGCATGATTGATTGAGGATTGGGGTGTACTTTTATATGGATTACTTGGGCATTATGTTTGCG